CAGCCAGGAGCCAGTTAGCTTAGCTTAGCATAAAGAGTGAAAACAGGTTCTACCAGCAAGCCGGGCGTGATGACAGAGTGATGACAAGACATACTGCGGCAAAGAATACGTATTTTTTATTTATTTATTTTACTTTGGGACAGAGCTCAACTTTTTCTCTAACAGTTTTCTCCTGTATCTAGTCTTGATGCTAAGCTAAGTTACAGTGTTGGATGTTCATATTAAACGTGGCTTAATTTTCAAATAATGAGGTAAACATAATAAATTGATCCCTGTGAGCAACAGCTCTTTAGACCGTTCTGAATACTCTGTTTCCAACGAGACAAGTTGGCGTCAGCTCCTGACAGATGTCTTTAGACAGTCATCTGCTCCAGTAGCAAGTATTTACATTACATACACTGCTACATGTAGCTACATGCTAACGTCATGGAAACACGTAGTCTAGATCGTCGATATCAAATTCTCCCAGATTTCTGATCCTAGTCCAGCTGGAACTGAAAACAAGCTTGACTTCCAGGTAAATTACCCGAATCTTCCACACCTCCTCGGGCCCACAGAGCAGCACATCAGACACTTCTGCCAGCCGAGTGGCTAACGTCTGCTTTAGCCCTCCACTAACCTGAGTGGGATGAAATTATTTAATCGTGCAGCTCTTCAAAGCTTTCCAAGTGTTACCAGACTGAATGGATTTTCCAGTGTAACATCCCGTTGGGCCCAGTGGCATCACATGATGGATCCGGAGGTTGTAATTCCACGGTTTGGTCACTATGTCAGATTGGCTCGTTCCTAACGGCGAGGCAGAGACATCGAGAGTGCGGAAATGGAAGACCCAATATTGACAGAAGGTGAATACAGATGTGTCAGCACAGACAGGATGAGGAGAATAAAGTGCTTTTAAACATGTTCTAGTAGAAACTCAAAATACATGTATGAACCTGAACATGAGCAGAAAAGGCCTTTAAGCTCAGATTTGTCTTCTACATTATAAATCAGTGTTTATGTCCACACTAAGTTTTTATTTTTGATAAATCATGTGAAAGTGTGTGACATCATGTGCAGGATGAAAAACTGTTTGCTACTTGTTGTCAACACACAGAGAGGAATTCAACTGCTGCTGTGTGTCTTTGTCTCGGATCTGTTTTCAGCTTAAGCTGCTATTTATTTTCATAACTGTGTGTGTGTGTGTGTGTGTGTGTGTGTGTGTGTCTCTTTATCGCCGTCATTAATCACAGTAACACTCTCCATAAGTGTGTTGACTTGTTCTCGGTGTCGTTATATAAACAGTTCAGACACACACACTCAGTCTGACTCTCTGATAACCTCTCCCCTGAACTGCCTCGTCACGCTGCTTTTATTCTTTTCTTATGAATCATGTTTATGATTATTGTGATTTTTATTTTTAGACTGTGGGACAAACACTTTGTCTTCCTGCAAGAAGTCAAATTGACTCTTTGACCCTGTTATTGTCAGGAGTTTTTGAATAAAGCCTTTGTGTTTTATGTCATAAACATGTTCAACATTATTTTGTTTAGTTTGAGGCCTGCTTGGCTGCAAAATGTCAGAAATATACAGAATGACACAGTGAAGACAAAAGGTCAAAGATAAGATAAGAAGATAAGACAGTCTGAAGCCCTGACAGTGCTGGCTGCAGTGTCCTGAGTCACACAAGTTAAAGGGTTACATCACTGATTGTAAACCAGCTCTGTATCATCACAGTGTGGGCAGTATGTGTGAATGAACTGTGGTAAACTTCCCTCCATCTCACCTGCTCATCTTCAGCTCCAAACACATCATCTTGTGGATTTCCGCTGGCTCTAGAGCTGCTGCTTGAACTACAGATGGTATTTCCTCATGTGTGTACACCTGCCACCACCAGGGACACATGAGCCGCCCCTCCAAACTCAGACCAAATTCAGATCAATCAGTAAAACTAGGCAGCGCTGATCAACTTCCACAGAGATTGCAAGAGCTGCTATGAAGTCCCGTCTTTAATCCGTCTTTGGATTTTATCTGAGATCCAAACAACAGCAGCTTCATGTTGCTGCAGTGTGAGATTTTAGACAGCATGCCGACATCATGGAAGCTAAAAAGGAGTGACGGGTGCAACATTTAACACAACATCGCCGGCCTCTAGTGTGACATATAACATACGTGTCGGCAGGGCTTTATAAACAATAAATATGACATAACATGGCAACAACAATCAAACACCGTCTCTATTATTAGCCGTCTGATCTCGTCCTTTTCAGCTGCTGTTAAAGGGATAGTGCACCCAAAAATGAAAATTCAGCCATTATCTACTCACCCTTTAAGTCTTCTTTGAGTTAGCTGCTAACTGCTATCAGCTGCTATTTAAATCTCCACCACCTGGGTCGCACACATAACACATCATCCAAACGTCACACCCGTCCTGCCGGTTGTCCCTTTTTATACTGACAGCGTTTTGGTGCTGATACCACCTTTAGAGATACAGCTGTACATGCTTTTATTTGATTTTTCTTGATTATTGCAGCAGCCTTTATTCCTGTCTGAATCCAAAAACCTGGCAATGACTACAGATCGTTCCGAAATCAGCCACTCAGCTTTTAAAGTTACAATGTGTAATTTACGTGGTTGTTTATTGGCAAATATCAACTATTGCTTTCATAAATACATATTTACTAAAGTGTAATGCAGTTCACATACAAATGGAAGCTTTCTCATTGGCTTAGAATGATTTCTCTATATATACACAGGCAGGGCGCGGTCTGCTGGAGGCTGCCTTCTTGCGTCGCCATATTTGAATACAGTGGTCGAAAGAGATACACGCGCTTCGCCTTTCGCGTTTACCTAGAAGTTGCCGTCACTGGAGACAGAGAAGGTGAAGCTCAATCCGGGGCGCTTCTGCTTGAACCTGCTTTGTACTTTTATGATTCTGTCGCACTTTAAATGGAGGAGCACACATATGTTTTGCCCCGTAAGAGGGAAACCACTCCACCAAATAAAAGAAAAAGATCAGATAAGCGAGGACAGGACAAAATGTGAGTGAATATCGGCGTTGCTTATTCCAGGTGGAAAAAACTCCTGTGGAAGAACACTCTGGAGACACATATATTATAATCGTACCAACCTATATTTGCCGCACTGTGCCGTGACTGTCACATAAAACATGTTATTTTAGCATTACTGTGCTAATGTTTGCTCGTGTTACCAAAACAATTAGAGATAAAACACTCCTAACATAACATTATATCTCACAGATAACCTATATGTCTCTGGTAAGCTATAACATATTGTAGCGCCCGCCAGGACGTGTGGAAAGGATGACGCAGTTATTTGGCAAACCACCGTTTATTACTGAACAGTACAGGTTACTGTTGGCCGTAAGTACACCAAAACAACCAGCAAACAAGAACTTAGCTGTAACTCCAACTGTGCACTGCTGCTCTCTCCTCCAGCTCGCTCATACACACACCAGCACGCACACTCACACAGCTCTCATCCCCGTCACACTCGCACCCCGCCCCCCTACCTATACTCATTCAATCCCAAACATGCCATTAACTCACAGAACATTTACTGCAGGGTCGCTACAATATCGTAACATGGTTTAGATTCCTAAATAAATATTCACCTCATGGCTAGATAGACCTACTCCTGAAAAACTTGATAAACTCATGGATGATGCATCTCTGTCTGCGCAAGGCTTTTTGTCCTGCGAGGCCACCGTCACTTACCTGGCGGGAGGGGTGAGCGAGTGAGCGCGAGTGAGCCCTGCAATCTAGAATTTGACCACTGATGTCACTGTTACTCACCATTTATACACACTGAGGCTTCAACCAAAACCAAGAAGTACGATCACGTCACACTGGTTTCAGTCGCCTTACATCGGCTCCCTGTTTGTTTTAGGATTGACTTTAAAATCTTATTGGTTATTTTTAAGGCTCTTCATGGGCCCAGATTATATTTCAGACCTTTCATTATGAACCTCTGCGTAGTCTGAGATACTACTTCTGCAGCATAACAGCGTGATATTCCTGCTTTGAACTGGCAGTGTGAAAGGGGCTTGTGATATAAGATCGTTTGTTACCAGCCCGCCACCGTATTGGTTTTTTTTTTCATAGCTATTCTACCTCTTGAGTTAAATAAGATGTCACAGCCCTTTTCTTCTGTTTTCTCTGGTCATGTGGCACCAATTTCAGAAGTATTTGCACCTTTTTTACTGCACAAACAACTCATTTCATGGAAAGATCATCTCTCCAGCAGTGACATACTACTTTAAACTCCTCGGGAAATAAATGCACTCTGCAGATTCCATGTCAGTCTTCTGATTGTGGTATTTGTCATGAAGGAGCTCACATGTCAGTGGTGCTTGAGAAAATATCAGAGGATCACAGAAATATTAAGAACCATCAAGTGAAGATCATGAATATTGAAACATTCTGGGTCAATCTGAGGAGGAGTTTACATACTCTGGAACAAAGTGTTTTATGGAAGGTTGGAACGATGTCTGTGCTCAGCTCTCATTTCTGTCCCTGGCTTCTGAAAAAGCGCTTAAAATGTCTGAGAGTTAAGAAGTGTTCGATGCTTTAATGGGTCATGTCAGCAATTCTCATCTGGTTCACTGAAGACAGCTGGACTTTGTCTCTGTAACTGCTGCATTCCTGATTCTGTCCACTCGTTATATTTTAATGACGTTCTCCAGCTGTGATCAGTCACAAACACGCTTTATTGTCATCTTTGAATTTTTAATACAGCTTTTTAAAATGTGCCAAAAAGATTTAGAAAGGCTCCAAGAACGTTTCTCATTTCAGGACAGTCTGTCCTCAGTGTCCTCAGTGTCCTCAGGCTGTTGTGACCCTTTGCTTCCTTATTTTGGTTGCTTGTGATGATGCTGATTCATGAGGTGAAGAATTATAAAGTGTATTGCAGACTGCTGGCCACTAGATGGAGCTGAGATGTTACACTCTGTCCTGGAGCTGCAGAAGAATTAACCAGTTTCCTTTTGTTCTTCTCCTCAGATGGACCAGGTGTCAGACGAGGAGGTGGAGGTCAGGGAGGAAGAGGAGGAGGAAGAGGAGGACAGTGATAAGGAGGACCAGGACCTGGATAAGATGTTTGGAGCGTGGCTGGGAGAGCTGGACAAACTCACACAGGTACACAAAGTAAGGGAGGTCCAGAGGTGATCTGCATGTTTCATATCAGATCTATACATCCCAGAATTTCATCTGCTGTGATGCAGAAGTTATAATAATGTGTCCATGCAGAGTCTGGATGACGGTCGCCCCGAGCAACCCCCCCAACAGAAAGCTCCCCTCAGACAAGAGACCAACATAGCCAACTTCTCCTACAGATTCTCCATCTACAACATCAACGGTCAGACGCTTCTCTTCATTTTCCTCTCCTGCTGTGTTACAGTCTTTCTTTTCTCCCCGTCTCACGTGCTGGTGTCTCTGTGTCCGCAGAGGCGCTGAATCAGGGGGAGAACGTGGACCTGGACGCTCTCATGGCAGATCTCTGCTCCATCGAACAGGAACTCAGCACCATCAACACCAAACCAAACAGTATGGGTGGCATGGCTCGCCTGGGCCTGACTGACACCAAGGTACACACACGTCTGTGCAAAATCATCTAATAGATAATAGATCTTTATTGTTCACAAGGTTTTTACCAGGAGCCAAATCATCTGCAGGGGTCTCTTCCTCTCCAGAAAAAGTTTCAAATGAAAAATTCAGTGTTTTTCTGATGCTGTTTGGCTTGTCACAAAGAGACTGCTCACACAGCTCCTGCAAACGTGTGCTCACCTTCATCTCTGATAACTTCAGATCCAGACATTCAGGAGGTTTTCACAGGGAGCTGAATTATCTGCAGAGGTCTCCTCTTCTCCAGAACAAACAGACTCACTGACTTACACCAGTAAAAACATTAATAAAGCAGCTTCATGTTAAAAATCATTGTTTCTCCGATGCTGTTCAGCACAGCAGGGACCAGAGCTCACCTGCCCACTGATGCTCAGCCCGTGTCTCTGTTTACTTAAAATCCAGATGTCCAGTGACTAAAATCTAAGTCACTAAAAAGAGTGTACTGTAAAAATGTTGCTTATAACTGGTTAAAAAGTAGTTTCATGACAGCTTCTGGCAGCCAACCACAACCCCGACACAAAAAGGATATGACACCACTGGCAGGTGATGGCGACCAAGTGAAACGGACAGTTTCCTGGATTAAAAACACAAATTTCTTTGAGTTTAAAGAATGTTGGACACGTTTGGGAAAATGACAAAATAATGACAAATATATAGGTCTTGTTGTTTTTAGACATTTTAATGCTTCAATTTTACATATTATATCTTAAAAGAGTTTTTCTTCTGTTTATCTCTCCTAAAATGTCCGACCTTGATGAAACTGACCTTTATCTGTCCAAAGTTTGTTACTATTGTTATACTGTTCCTCTACAGAGGAGGGTGATGTCTGCTCCCTTCCCTAAAATCTGAGATTCAGACTAGATCAGTTACTTCACTAATACAAAAGCCAATCCCCGTCTCCTATTGGACAAACATATCGACAGGAGGACAGATTGCGACACAACACCTGCAAAGAAACCCAGAACCTCCGGTGCAGAGCAGACCGTCACCACAGAGAACCAAGTTAGCATTAGCATAGTGAAAGTGTTGAGGGTAGGGTTAGGGGGCTTAGGGGGCTTCCACTGTCTACAAACTGCCAGTTAGCTCCCAGCTAACAAGCTAACAGACAACCTCAACAAATCAAAGATGCTAACTGCACTCACTATCCTGATACGTCTGCTAGTCGCCAGGTTTGGTGCACAACAGACTCCAGCTCCTAGGTGTTTGAACTATAGTGGGAAACCACGTTGACTAAAATATACTCTAAAACATGTCTGGCAGGGGACTTTAAGGTTGGCTCTTGTTCTCAGAGTTTGAGTTTTGGCTCTCATCACGTCCCTGTGTCTCCAGGTCCGTCAGAAGCCTCCAGCAGGGCGCAGCAGCAGGCAGCAGCCAGCAGGAAGCAGCAGTGGTGGCGGTGGCGGTAGCAGCAGTAACAGTGTTAGCGGGGGAGGAGGCAGCAGCGGGGCGAGCAGCAGCAGCAGCAGCACCAGAGCGTCACCTGCTGGCACTATCAGAGCTCCTACCGGGCATCATGGGAGACCGGCGTTGGCTTCTAACTTCAGTCTTGATGACATCACTGCCCAGCTGGAGAAGGTGTGTGGGAATTTATTTTATTATGAATCTGCACATGTACTGTTTAACATGGTGCTTTAATATCCTTCAAAACTGCAAACTTTAGCTTTATAACATAAGAAACATAAATACTCTGATATCTGTAAAGACGGGACTGTTTATCCTTCATGCCGCTCTATTAGAGGGAGATAAACATTTCAAACTTTCAGCAAACCGATCGTTGCCTCCTCGCGCTCATGAAGGTCTTGGGACATTCAAGCACTAAGGGACAGAGACACAGTGGACTCTCTTGATGCTGTAACAGAAATAGGTCAGAGAGAACTGGAGGCAGAGCTTCGTGCTGACGCTCAGCAAACACAGAATCTTTTATTCGAAATGTTTCCTCTAAACAGTGGTCAGTGTTTTTACTGCAGCGTTTTAGATACTACTGTGGTTCTGCCTCCACGCCAGCAACAGCTGTGACTGGAGACAGTTTTGGTGGTCAAAGGTCAAAGGTACTGAATCTTGCATCTGACAGTCTTAGCAGTTGGCGACCACACGCCAGAGGTCATCTACAACCAAACCATCACACAGGTCCCATCATGTAAATATCTTGTTGTCTTTGTTGACAGCTCACTAACCTGGAACACACAGGTTCACAGTCTCTGTAGCAGATCACATCAACGGTCACATTTCTTACGTCGTCTGAGAGTTCATGGTGTTGATCAAAAATGTATGATGATGTTTATCAGGCAGTCTGAGAGCGTCTGATCAGGTTCAGTATCACAGCTTGGTTCGGTAACCTGTTTCAATTGATCCTCTCTGCGTGGAAGATAACTGGTGTCAAAGAGCACATTCACTGCAGACTGCTTTTGAAAAGGCGACTAAGTCGAACCAATAAGATCATCTATGACTCCTCTCATGTTCTGCTCACAGAGTCTGAGCTCCTGCCCTCTGATAGGAGATTCAGAGCGTCTCGTTGTACACTAAACAGATTTAAAAACTCCTTCATATCTCTGTTTATAAAGCTTTTAAATAGTAGCAGATAAAGTGTGATGATTGAGTTCAACCTTTCCCTTCTCTCACCCATCAGGCGTCTCTCAGTATGGATGAAGCTGCTCGTCAGACCTCCTCCCACTCCCTCAGCTCCGCCACCTCCTACACGTCAGCCACAATGCGACGGCCCGGATCATCTCAGCGCCAACACCGACGCACAGGATCAGTCGGCACGGTCAGCGAACATGAGGTAACCTTCCTCTGATTCCTTCTCACAGTTGATGCATTGACTCAAAGATCATGCTCTGAGTCCATGAACTTCATGTTTTGAGTTTATCAACGTTGTATGACTGGATTTGGACCTCCAGGTTTTGGAGCTGTTGAGTTTTTGATTGTTTTTTACATGCGGCTTCTCGTCTCTTTCTCTTCAGGCTCGTTCGATCGTTCACTCCTCACGCTCCTCCATCACCTCAGCATCTGAGGTTTCTGTTAACTCCGCCTCCTCCATGGACTCGTTGGACAGCGTTCTTCGCTCCAATGAATCAGACGGACAGCTGCCTTCAGTCATGCCGTCAGCTGAAGGAGCCAGTCAAGGTCATCACAACACAGAGGTACACGCCCACTTTGAATGTGAAGCGCAATGAATGAGTTTGTGTGTTTGAGTGATCCTCATTCGGACATTTATGATGACATCATGCTTCAGTTTAAATGTCTTTAAGGCTTTGTGAGGTAGTGAATTGCAGATTGGCGCCTTGTTGGGAGTCAACAAGAAAAAAGAGATCAAACAAAAATCTGCTTCATGACTCAGAAAACTTGTGAACGCTAGAGGTTTGTCTGTACCTGTCCTCCTCTTAGACTCACACTCAGTTGCCAGTTCATTAGACACACCTACCTCACGCTAATGCAGTCTAAAGGCCAAAACACACCACTGTCAATAAAATACACCCTTATTATTTTCAATGTACAGCCGGCGCTCCCGGACGTGCCACTCCATGGCACTTGACACACTGACCATTGTCCTGTTTCCAGCTTCGCTGCCCCTGGAGTAAAATGCATTTTCCCCCGCTTGCTCTCTGCTTGTACAGACCAGCTCCTGTAGCAGCTCTTCTTCTCTGCTCCTCTGGCAGCTCGACTCCTCTCCTCACCATGGATGTATAAAGAGAACTCTATAGCTGTTGCTGTGTCTCATGTGTGACGAAGAGTAGATGACAAGAGATTTGTTGTTGAGGTTGAGAAATATCTCGAGCTAAATGACCCACAATCCTGTCGTTATGAAGACAATAACCAAACAGATACTTCCTGTTGAGTCACAGCTCTGGAGATCGGCTCTTCAGGTGAGAAATCAAGTTTAATTAGCAGCTGTCCACACGTGATTTTAAGCTAACGCAGAGGAGGAGGAAGTTCAGATCTTTCAGTAAAAGCAGTAATAACTCTGTGTGGTCGTCTGTTGATGAGCTGCAGCATGAAGCATCCGGTGTGTGCTCGGTGCAGCACTTGACGTGCATCACATGCCGTGCCACAGCAGCACTGGTGTGTTTTCTGTTTAACACTGTGTTTCCTTCTGTGGAGACATGAGTACAGCTCAGTTCACATCAGCAGCCACCCTCAGTGCTCCCGTCATGTTTCAGGTGTTTAGCAGCAGGACTGATGCTGCTGTAACTGGATCTACGTCACTAATACCTGTCCACTGACTGGGATTATACCCAGTCCGCTATCACTCCAAGCAGATTATGAGATTATGTTCTTTAGACGATAATTGCATTGAAAATACAGGAAAAATTATACACAGTTTTTGAATGGGTTGCTCAAAGTGTCTAAAGTGTCTTTTGTTGCACTGAACAGTTTTTAGATTTCACATCATCCAGGCAGTGAGTTGTTTGCCGAAATCTGTCACAATGAATTGTTGCGTAAGTGACCTTTGGAGAGGTCGCAGTGCGGTGAAGACATTCTGCATTTGAAACCACAATCACAACACACAGAAATAACAGCAGACATTTACTGCTGCTGCTCGAAATAGATTTAAAACTACAGTATTGTAAGATATCACTTGTTTAATCAGAAGATTTTTTATTTTTTATTTATTTTTATTATTTTATCATTTATATATACATATATATATATATATATATACATATATATATATATATATATATATATGTACATATATAAATTGTATTTATTTATTTATTTTTTTATCATTTTCAGTCAGGGTCAGACTTGGCTGATTAGTTACTGCTGAATTACAGCTCTCAACTCGCACCAACAGCTGACGCTGCTCCACTCTGACTGTTTCTGCTGACTACTGAAACATCCTGGTGCAGACTATTTACTGGAGTTTACCCTTCTGTTGCTCATACGGCAATTTAAGATAATTACAAGCACGGTCATTCTCGACTTTCAATGTCCAACAGGCCACCACCAATGTTTTGTCAGTGAAAATAAAATGTAGCTTTCATCTTAGTTTTTATTATCAAATTTTATTATTATTTTTAGCTTCTGATCTTGTTTTGGTCATGGAAAAAAGGTTGTTGACGAAAAAATTTTCGTCATAGTTTTCGTCAATGAAAGTAACACTAATGCGCTCCCAGTTTGGAAAGCCAGTTGGCTCTTTGCAGCCACCGTACTGCAAACTTCAAAGGCCTTTTTCTGAAACTCATGGTTGGTTGCTCAGTTACAGTTGTTACATTAATGTGATGTATTTTGGTCAATGCTTGGAGTAAAAGAACAGGGTCAGTGTGACTGAGAATGACAGAGCGAGTTACACACAGTGTTAAATCTGAGTCTTTTTAGGCTCCACTTTGTCGATTCTTTTTTATCTGTACATCAGTTTGTTTCTCGGAGCTGCAGACCAGGAACAAATCTCCTCCAACGGTCCGGTGTTCTTGCAGTTGAGCTTTTATTACTGGAGGTTGTTTTAAGTTTTTGCTGCAGCAGAGGTTTGCGTTGGCATCTTCTCCTCCTGCTGGCTGTTTCTGCTGCTTCAGGCTGTGTCTTCGCTTCTTTTAAGATCAAAAACCCGCTCCGGTTTTTCTGTCCCAGAATACACCTGAAGAAAAGCCTGGTCATAATCTTCCCTGAATCATCTGCATTGTCAGATGTGAACAATTCACAGCAGTGCTGGCAAAACTGCGAGCAGGACCGAATACCAAAAAACAAAGAAGAAGCTCAGAACAGTTACAGGGGCCGGTTTTTACCAAGCGTTTTCCTCCTCTGTTTCTGGCCCTGGTGGCTGCTGGGAGAATTTAACCCGAAGCCTTGTTAATGTTAATGTTGCTCAACCCAGACAGGAAACCAAATGAGCTGCAGCACAAACCTGTTCAGTGAAGGAAACTGGGTTACTGCTCCAAATTCATCCAGTGCAAACACACAGACTACAGCAAATTTGAGAGCGGAGAGGAGGAACGGAGGAACACAATTAGAATAACGAGAGGACGCAGTGAGTCAGCAAATGACCAGAGATGATAAAGGAACAAGAGGAACGATGGAAACTAACAGAGAAGCAAAGAGTGACACAGATGAGAAGAAAGAGAACAAATCCAGAGAAAGAAAACACAGAGGGATGAGAGGATGTGTTTGGCCCAGAGCGCTGCTCCCTGGAGTCCAGCTCATTAGAAACTGGGACTGCTGCAGTTTGAATCATTGAGTCTTTCTCTCCTTTACGTGCTCACTAGGAGTCTATTCAGTCCGTAGTTAACTGGAGAAGTAATAAACTTTATTTGTTTAGCACTTTTCAGAACATAGTTGCACAGTGCTTTATGGGACAGATGAATAATATACACCATCAAGATAAAAACGTACATAAAAAACATTGAACAATAATAAAAATAAATAAATAGATAATAAAATTAATAATAGAGGGAAAGAAACCAGACAAACTATTTTGAGGAGTGTTTTAAATGAAGACCATGGGTTTGTTCTCCTGAGTTACTCAGGTAAGGAGATCCACAGCTGCGCGGCTCTTACGGAAAACGCCAGGTTTCCTTTTGTAACAAGGTGAATTGTGGGAACAGTTAGGAGGGTCCTACCTGAGGTGCGCAGGCAGCAGCTAGGCTCGTAGGGCAAAACAGAGGGCCTGGCGGGGACGGAGCACCTGCTGCAGCAAGCCAACACACCATCTGCGGCCATTTTGACTTGACCAGCGGACTTCACTACAAGGTGATTGGCTGTTGAAACAGGTGATGTGCTTTAAAATCAGCTGCCAGCCATTTGACCAGCTGAGTGTCAGGTGACACCATCAGCCGGCTTGAGTCGAGCTCAGACCGGCCAGTAGCTACTAATTAGAGGAAACAAAAAGGACCTCAGATTTGAACTCATTGAGCTGGAAGACGTTTTGTGACATCCAGCACTTATATCTGAGACAAACCATACCATGAGAGAGACTGTCAGGGTCACTACCAGTCAGCAGGAGATAAAGCTGCGTGTGCTCTGTAAAATTATTATGATTATCTGACCCAGAGGGAGCATATAAAGAGAAAACAGAAGAGGACCCAGAATTGACCCCTGGGGAACACCACAAGAGAGAGGGGGCAGGGGACGAGGAATATTCTCCCAGTACAACAGAGAAAGATCTTTCAGAGAGGTCAGAGTGAAACCAGGAAACAGCACTGTCCTTAACTCAGACATTGTTTTCATGATGCTGAGGTCGACTTTACCAAATGCTGAATTCAGAACAAGCAGAATAAAAACTGAGTGAGCCAATAAAGGTCAAAGGTACTGCAGGTAACTTTTTACATGTATTTATTGTTTTTTATTGGCAGTGCACAGAGTGTTAAACATCACAGTCAAACCTGGCAGTGTGTGTCACACACACACATATATAGAACCTATCAGTGTGTCCTGCAGCGGATCAACACACAGGCACACACACTCAGATGCTCTCGCACTCTTGGCCAAAGGGAAAAGCTGAATGTAATCGTGTGTGTGTGTGTGTGTGTGTGTGTGTGTGTTTGACCTAAATATTATTTTTAATCTGTGGTTATCAAGAGAGAACTAATGCTTTCTATAAAATGGTTTCTAGTGATTGAAGCACAAGCACACACACACACACACACACACACACACACAGATTATTGAAGATGAGAACAGATAATGTTCAAGTGTCTGAAAATAAATCGTAGATTTGTGCATTTGTATTTATTTATTTATTTTTAACACTATGAAGAGGTTTCAGATTTCAGCAGTATCCATTGATGAAACAAAATTACGTTAAATTAAATTAAAACAATAATAAATATTCTAAGGACATGCTGATTTTCAGGTGAACCCTCCTAATAATATAAGTTTGCTATTTTGATATCTGTTTTCAAAACAAGCCCTCACAAGGCACTGGTTACTTCCTGAACCCACCACAATACAGGAATGGATAAATGATATGTATTTTATGGGAAAGATTTATTTTTCTCTTCATCCTCAGAAAAATGACTTCATCACATTCTGGAACAAGTGGGTGAAATACACGCGACTCTTACGGCCAGATTTTGTGGAGGTTTTGAAAAATGACCCTATTAACGTAAAACTTGAGTTGAACGCCCCGTCCCTTTTACTGGCCTGGTGTGGTGACACATTTTGACAAATAATGGTCCGTCTCAATTAGAGGCCTGGTCTGGTTGCCAAGCAGTTCTTCGGATGTATAAAGTCAGGTTGTTGGCTACCTCAGATTGTGTGTCCATTCCTGGATTCCCCTGTAAGTTATCATATTTAGTCAGTAACGGTCCTCAGATCAAAAGAATCAAAAGTTGTTGTTTTTCATAAAAAATAATCCAAGTTGTGAGGATTGTTTTAACGGCATAAAGTGGTGTGTCAGAGTTAGAGCAAATGAATCAGTGAGTTATATTTGATATGTTATCTGAAGCCTAATTTCTATATAGTAATATTCATACTCCACTTTATCTCTCCCAAAATGTACAGTTCCTACATTTTGAAAAAATCTGAAAAGCAAGAGAAATTATACTGCGTCTTTCATGATGCATGTTTTGTAATAAAGACTGATATATGTATATATATAGATAAATATAAATACACTCAAGATTGTTACCGTTTATCTCCTGGGAGAAGAGACTACAAATGTGATTATTATGTTTATGAAACACAGAAACATCCAGTGAACACAGTAAAAACCTGTCGTCTGACTTTATCAGAGACCACAAGCTAAAGTGGACCAGAGCCCTCTAACATCTCTCTGGGAAATAAAGGTTAAATAATTCAGATGCAAACAGATATACAGTCAGTACACACACACACACACACACACACACACACACACAGCAGGACACCAGACTGACTCTCATTAATTATTCATCACTGACTGAATTATTGACCATATTACTCATATTTACTGACACTGTGAATCTCACTGACACCACAGGACAGATCTGCAGCTCACTGAGCTTCATATAATCCAACATACTTTAATCCCACATACAGGCAGCCGTGCTGTGAGTCACCAGTTCACTCTGAGCAGGTTCATACTGGGCAGACTGGGATCCAGAATATTTGTTACTGCAGCAGAGCAGAGGAGAAACAAGGAGCTGTTTGAGGCGGACAGTGGGGCTGCGGTTGTCACTTATATTTCACAGTATTTTTGTTTTGGAGAAAAAATCACGTATTCGACGAGGTGATCTGTAGCGGCGGGGAGTGAGGTGGAGGGCACACTGTGATCAAGGCTGCTACATTAACTACACTCAGAGCCGCAGTTCTCAGCTTTTGGTTCCAATTTTCCACCATTGAATCAGGTTGTCACCATCTGAAGGGACGTGCACGCACATCTGCATTTGTAGAACAGCCAGTGGGAACGTCCTCTCTCTAAAGTGACCTGTGACTGGCCGAAGTCTCCCAAAATCACTTAGTTTCCAGCTTTAAGCAAAATGAGCTCATAGAAATAAATAAAAGCACATGGATGGATTTTCTTTTCTTGGTTAATGTGTGTTTTAACATTTCCTCTCCTCCCCAGCGTCATCACTGTGATGTGTTTATGATGTGTTCGCTCTCCTTCACAGGTTTCTGTCTCTGCTTCACCACACAGTTTCCTGCTGCACTGCCACATCCGCCAATCAGACACCAGATTAACTCACCACAACCTCTCTGTCTCTCTGTGTCTCTCTTAAAGCACTCCTATCTGGACAGGGAAACCTCTCTGATTCTGAGAAACATAGCAGGGAAACCTTCCCACCTGCTGACCAAGGTGACACCCCATTCACTTCTGCACGCTCCTCCTCTCCTCTTGCATGGCAACACTCTGTCCCTCCCTTTCCTTTGCATCTCTGTGCTTGAAGCATCAGGAGCAGCCACCTGCATGTTAACTCCTTTTTCTTCCACCTCCCTCTTCTGCCCTCTGACTGTGTTGGAGAGGAGCCAGTGTGTGTGTGTGTGTGTGTGTGTGTGTGTGATGCACAGTGTTGTGTGTCCTGTTCGGCTGGTGTGTATTCCCAAAGTTTTACAGAGGTTGCAATGCAACTACGAAGTTCTCATGTGGTATCACAAAACTCTAACCTTCGTGGCAGCTGCAGCCGTAAACTGTGCAGCAGGAGTGTAACTGTAGGCTGAGTGAAACAACCTACACTAACTGTGATGTGGAGTGTTTGTCAGCCTGCAGAGCAGAAATGGACTGGGATGTATTTTTAGTGCCGTTTCTCATGATTGAACTCTCAAATAAAATTAGCCGCTTGATTTAAATGCAGGAGCAAACAGTGATAACAGTTAAAATGCAAATAAAAACAGTCTCAAAAAGCACGAAATCATCACATGCATATACAGTTTTAAGTTTACAGAGAAGAGTCATAAGTTTTATCATCACCAAGCAAACACTGAGACATTTAATGACCGTTGTTTGAAGACGGCTATGGTTTAAAAATTGTTCCAAAGTGAAAGTTGTCTGGGATGTTGCCTCGGCGTACTTGCTACATGGAAATATAATGTTAGCACAGAAGATAATAAGGCAACATTTACTCACATGGGACACAAACACATGTCTCCTGGGTGAAAGTCCTTTGCTTAAACTGTTTATCAGCTAACCCTCCTCATAAAGGACTGCACTACTGTGTTTATTAATGTGTCATTTACGTCTCATTTAATCGATTAGTTGTTTGGTCTGTAAAGTGTCAGTAAACTGTGAGACTGTTGATCAGTGTGTCCCAAAGCCCAGGATGACGTCCGCAATGTCTTGTTTTGTCCATGACCCAAAGAGATTCAGTTTGATGTCGTAGAGGAGGAAACAAACTAGAAAATATTTAATTTTGACTTCTTTCTTATTTATTAATGAAACAGGTTAATTCATCAGATTTGTTGGCAATTAATTTAAAAGTCGAAAACGAATCGATTAATCTCTGCAGCTGTACTTCACATGGACTTTGTTGCACAATATAATCAAACAATTAATCAAATGTCCTGCAGAGAAAACAAAACACCTATTTAATAGAGTTACAAACAGAAAAGCTTCAGTTATCACGTTCCCTGATCGAGCCTTCTCTCTGTAAAGCTTTGTGAGTACTGACCTCTGATCACTGAGCTCACCTGTGAGTCCTGTCTTCATCTCTCACCTCTCACAGCGTCTCTTTGGTTCCTGTTTGCAGGTTTTTTCAGTGAAAACAGAGTTTCTGTCCAATGAGACAGAGACGAGAGCACAGAGAGGGTTTTTGTTTCTCTGAAGCATGATGGTTTGCTTTGTTTAAGAAAAAGAAAAGGCATGAGTGAAAGCAAACTGTACCTGACTGTGTGTGTGTGATATCTGACTGAAGTGTGTCAGACGGACTGAAGAGTCTTACAGGGGGCGATCACACAGGAGTCGTTGTAAAGTTCTGTCAGCACTGGATCAACACACAGTGACTGTGTCTGTTGGACGGTAGAAGAACAAAGTCACCTGACTGAACATGAGCCTCAGCTGCTAAACCGAATCCTGTGTGATCGTTCTGTCAGACGTCTTCAACGCTGTTTGCATTTAAGAAAATGTTTGGGATGATGATGATGATGATGATGATGATGATGATGATATGGGATTCAGTTCTCATGTTGTCTGAAGCCGAACACAGGTAAGTGTGACAGTCAGCGCCTCTGTGTCTGCTTCTATCTGCTAAAATCAGCTGATCAGACTGAAAACGTTTTTCCTCTGAGAAAAACAAAACACGTCAGCAATTATCTGACGACTGAATTTACAGACTGGATCAACAGAAGGAAGTCTGAGGGAAGAATTTGGGAGGTTTGCTGTATTTTAAAGGGTTTTTTAACACAATACTTCAGATGGGAGTAAAAACTGTGAGAAGATTTTGTCTCTCATACAGATGGATTCTCCTCTGTGGTGCTGTCTGTGAGGTGCTCCTTGAGTTTTAATGATGAACTTGGACACAAAATATCTGTTACAATACACAAGAAACCTTTTATTACACAGAGACTGTGTGCACTACTTCACAGACTCTGCTCTGTGTGATGGGAAACCAGGACTCCTCGTTCTTTCTAAACTGCACTGCTGAGCCTGAGAGGAGGAGTTTCAATGTAAGACAGAGTCTGCTGGAGACTAGTCAGTTCTCAGTTCAGGTTCTGTGTCGGCGTTTACAGCATTTAGTTTGCAGTGTGTAGCTTGTGGTTTGTATTTTGCAGCATCAAGTTTGTGGCACTTTGTGGTCTGTAACCTGCAGCTTGTTGTTTGCAGCCTGCAGCAGTGACCTGAGAGGACATTGTTCAGCAGCCCTGGTTTGTTCTGCCTGGTAATGAGAGTTTGGAGCTCGGCCAGCTGCAGTAATGGAGCTCAGCTGACGAGCCTGACGTTAGCTAACACAGATCAATGCAGATAATGGGACTGACGACCGCTCTAACTGTTGTTGGTGGTGTTGTTGTTCGACCCAGATCAGGAGGCTGGTGGAGAGCAGCCTGTCCTCAGCTCCACTTGTAGAAGTTAACTCATAAATAATAATCTGACAGGGTTAAGGTCGTTTCAGTTTAACGTCCCTGAAACAGATCTACATGATGAACAGGATGTGCTCACACTGTATAATATGTGACTGTGATGCTGCTGCTAAGCTAAAGCTGCAGCGCCTTAATGACTGAGGGCAAAGTTTTGTTTATCACTTTGTGCATATGTGTGTGTATGTGTGTGTGTAGGGGGGCATTAGATACAGAGTAAGTAAGGAGGCTTTATTCTGATTGGATCTCCAGTGTCCTGGTTTGATTGGATGATGGAGCAGATGGGGCAGTTTGATTGGATGTCTGAGGAATGTGCCAGATCTGCAGTGATAATCTTCTTTGGTGCAGAGACGGGTGATTCCCTGCAGCAGCATTTATACACACACGTGCAATTACTGACAGCGGCTGGCAGCGGGCCGTCTGTGTGGAGGTCTTGGCTTCAGGTCGTCTTTCTGATGGCGGCACACAGACTTAAAAATCTGCTCCACATCCTCATTGTATCAACCTGTGGAGAGGACGGAGCGTAGTCCCAAACCTCAGGGGGTCAAACTGAGTCTTGGACCAAGCAGACCCTGGTACGTTGTAGCACAACACTGGCTCCAGATCAGGTTCAGGCCAGTGGGTCCAAATTAAGTGAATGTGGTCAGATTAATGTTTAACTTTTAAGACTTATTATCTCAGCAGCTGCCACTGGCTTCAAATCCAGATTTTGCCGCTGCGGTGCCAAATCAACTCGTCTCATCGTCTCACAGTGTTTCCCTCCTGCTGTCACTCAGACTCAGTCGATTCTTGGCGTAAACGCTCTTAAAACGTGATTTTATTTTAAGTTGTGGCCCCAGATTAGAGCAGGAGGGGCCCCGATAGGCCCTGAGATTCCAGGCAGATTACGGGGCCAGTCTAATTCCTGCAGCAGTGATTAGGTTGAGAGTGTATTTGGTCACACTTGGCAGAGCACGGATGTGTGTGAGTGTGTAAATGTGTGTGAGTGTGTTAGCATGCAGGAGTGTGTGTGTTTCCGCACACTGTTTCTGTGTCAGTGTTACACTGCCTCAGCAATAAATGCAGTCCGCCCACACACTTTCTCGATCTCACACATACACACACACACACACACACACACACACACACGCTGCTGGCCCACTTCTGCTGCCTCTCTATAAGTCGCATCAGTCCACTCTGTTTTGAGCCTACGGCAGCTCAGGAGGGACACATTCCTCATAACTTCAAAGGCAGCGGGATCTTTCCTGGGCAGAAGCTAATTTTAGAGGCTCTATAATGTAGGTCAGCTGAATATCTATGAGACAGAGAGAAAACGTTTATGCTGCAGCTGAAAATGACGACGGTGGGAGGCAGAGAGAAATGAGAAACACTGGTCATCTGTGGCGGCACGATGAGGAAACGGATGAAAAAACAGTTAATGAAGAAACGGAGCATTTTTATTTTCAATTGAAAAAATGATGCCAGATTTAGGTTGAATGGATGAAATAATGGATTATCACATGTGAATAAAAGGTTTTCAGAGAGAAGGATTATTAAGGTGATTAAACCCTTTAATTTGACCAATTAATTAATAATGCCCTGATAATCCCTCAACATACTGTAATTACACGACTGCTCATGATTTCATGCTGTTTTAAGGGGAAAAATAAGATTTCATTTTATTGCGACAGAGGGTCTGAATTAATGGAGAATATAGATATTCCCATGGAACAGTGTTTTAGAGCAACATATTCAGACAACATTTTCGTTATATAAATAAGTCATTTTGTCATGAACTGAAGTTTTGGAAGGTGCTTTGGAGGGGAGGTTGGTATCACCAAACTTCATGACAATTCTTTGAACAACTATCAGGATAAAGAATAAAATCAAGACAGAGTGACTGTTAGCATAAAAAGTGATAACTGATTTAACAGGGAAACAAAGAGGACGTAGCAGCAGCGACGACCTTTAAAAGATTTAAAATCCTACACGTAAATAATCAAGACTCCTTCACCATGCAGTGTGATGATGATGATGAAGATGTTCAGGGCAGAGATGAAGGCACAGTAATGACTCTGATGGCTGTGATGATGAAGATGATGATGATAACTGACAGCTGCTGCAGGCTTTAATATTCTGTTGATTGGTTAATTGTGAATGCTAACGGACACAACGAGGAATACAGTGTCAGTTAGCATTAAGATGCTAACTGATGCAACACAGAGTAATGTTGTGTGACTGGGGTCTTAACGTTCCCTGGTCACCTCTGTGACTCACTCATGTTGCTAACAGTGACATTTAATAAATATT